CATAGTGTGGTGTTGTGATGTTTTATATTTCCCCCATAGTGTGGTGTTGTGATGTTTTATATTTCCCCCATAGTGTGGTGTTGTGATGTTTTATATTTCTCCCATAGTGTGGTGTTGTGATGTTTTATATTTCCCCCATAGTGTGGTGTTGTGATGTTTTACATTTCTCCCATAGTGTGGTGTTGTGATGTTTTATATTTCTCCCATAGTGTGGTGTTGTGATGTTTTACATTTCTCCCATAGTGTGGTGTTGTGATGTTTTACATTTCTCCCATAGTGTGGTGTTGTGATGTTTTACATTTCTCCCATAGTGTGGTGTTGTGATGTTTTACATTTCTCCCATAGTGTGGTGTTGTGATGTTTTACATTTCTCCCATAGTGTGGTGTTGTGATGTTTTACATTTCTCCCATAGTGTGGTGTTGTGATGTTTTACATTTCTCCCATAGTGTGGTGTTGTGATGTTTTACATTTCTCCCATAGTGTGGTGTTGTGATGTTTTACATTTCTCCCATAGTGTGGTGTTGTGATGTTTTACATGTCTCCCATAGTGTGGTGATGTGATGTTTTACATTTCTACCATAGTGTGGTGTTGTGATGTTTTACATTTCTCCCATAGTGTGGTGTTGTGATGTTTTACATGTCTCCCATAGTGTGGTGATGTGATGTTTTATTTTAGAAAGTTTTTATTCACCCTATGTAACATTGAGCTAATGGATGATAATGTAGTTTACTTTAGTATAATGTCATGCAACCCTATTCCTCCATTAATTTGTTTTGAATTAAGGTTTTATTGAGAATGATTCTAATTATGTTGTTGTGTCTAATTGTGTTGCTGTTTCTAATTATGTTGTAGTTTCTAATTATGTTGTTGTATCTAATTGTGTTGCTGTTTCTAATTGTGTTGCTGTTTCTAATTATGTTGTTGTTTTTAATTATGTTGTTGTTTTTAATTATGTTGTTGTTTCTAATTATGTTGTTGAAAATGAGTCTAATCTGCTTCTTTGTTTAATAAACGAGTTAGGTATTGTGGAGTTCATCGCTACAAAAATTATTTTTGGAAAGATATATCTGTTTACTAATGCAGCTTTGGCAAAGATGGTTGTATTTCAGTGTTGGTATTTTTCCAGATTGTGTTTTATTGTTCTGTGTGGCCCAAGTTTCTTGGTCGTCTTTTGTTGAGTCGCTGCTGTATGTATCCCATACATTCCGAGGTTGTCTGTTATTGTGATGTCGATTTTGTGAAATCGATTTTATAATTATCTTTATGACTCTAATTACCTAATGTTGTGTGGACGAGATTTCACATTTAAACAAGATCTTATACTTAGATTATCTACAATTTTACTCTACTTCCGTTTTCTAAAATACTTGAGCATCTATTCAGTTAGGGGGACGAAATTTTAATCGTAGCTATAAGATCTCTTGGTCCTGAGAAATTTTGAATGATTTCTGGCGAACGGAAGTCTTACTTTACGCTATTTCCAATTTCTGGCGAACGGAAGTCTTACTTTACGCTATTTCCAATTTCCGAAACAAAAACAAAAAATTACTTCTACCGGACCAATTTCTTCCAAAATTTTGAAGTGGGTCTAGACTACTCTAGACTAATGGCAATGCGCCGTGACATAAAAGTTTGGCTAAATTTGATGTATAATGAACTTTTAAAAAATGAATTAATATTTCCTTTACACCCCTATGTTCCGCCCTACACACACCGTCCACAGCTATTTGGTTCGCAATTTTTTTTTCCTATGAGATTTTATTCTGTTTGAACAATGTAGTATGCCACAAAGTTTAGGGGAGATTACTCACGCTTTACTTTTTGATTCTACTGTTGTATCGTCCGCGTATGCAAGTATTTTCTTGTATGGAATGTAAAGTCCTCTCATTGAGTTGTCCTGTCTGTTTTCTAGTAGGGTTCTAAGCTAAGGATGTATAGTCGGGGTTCTAAGCTAAGGATGTATAGTCGGGGTTCTAAGCTAAGGATGTATAGTCGGGGTTCTAAGCTAAGGATGTATAGTGGGGGTTCTAAGCTAAGGATGTATAGTCGGGGTTCTAAGCTAATGTATAGTCGGGGTTCTAAGCTAAGGATGTATAGTCGGGGTTCTAAGCTAAGGATGTATAGTCGGGGTTCTAAGCTAAGGATGTATAGTCGGGGTTCTAAGCTAAGGATGTATAGTCGGGGTTCTAAGCTAAGATGTATAGTAGGGGTTCTAAGCTAATGTATAGTCGGGGTTCTAAGCTAAGGATGTATAGTCGGGGTTCTAAGCTAATGTATAGTCGGGGTTCTAAGCTAAGGATGTATAGTAGGGGTTCTAAGCTAAGGATGTATAGTCGGGGTTCTAAGCTAAGGATGTATAGTAGGGGTTCTAAGCTAAGGATGTATAGTAGGGGTTCTAAGCTAAGGATGTATAGTGGGGGTTCTAAGCTAAGGATGTATAGTCGGGGTTCTAAGCTAAGGATGTATAGTCGGGGTTCTAAGCTAATGTATAGTCGGGGTTCTAAGCTAAGGATGTATAGTCGGGGTTCTAAGCTAAGGATGTATAGTCGGGGTTCTAAGCTAAGGATGTATAGTCGGGGTTCTAAGCTAAGGATGTATAGTCGGGGTTCTAAGCTAAGGATGTATAGTCGGGGTTCTAAGCTAATGTATAGTCGGGGTTCTAAGCTAAGGATGTATAGTCGGGGTTCTAAGCTAAGGATGTATAGTCGGGGTTCTAAGCTAAGGATGTATAGTCGGGGTTCTAAGCTAAGGATGTATAGTCGGGGTTCTAAGCTAATGTATAGTCGGGGTTCTAAGCTAAGGATGTATAGTAGGGGTTCTAAGCTAAGGATGTATAGTCGGGGTTCTAAGCTAAGGATGTATAGTCGGGGTTCTAAGCTAAGGATGTATAGTCGGGGTTCTAAGCTAATGTATAGTCGGGGTTCTAAGCTAAGGATGTATAGTAGGGGTTCTAAGCTAAGGATGTATA